TCTGGTGCAGGGATACACGCAGACAGAGCACTGTATACATAATTAATAAATAAAATTGTTTAAAAAAAAAAAAGACAGCTGAGCAATGGTGGTGCACACCTTTAATTCCCAGAACCTGAGAGGGTGAGGCAGGTGGATCTAAGTTTGAGGTCAGCCTGGTCTACAGAGAGAGTTCCAGAGAGAAACCCTGTCTCAAAAAAAAAAAAAAGACAGACTGTAAAATCTCTTCATCCCACATCAAAAGTGTAGCTTTATGTGCTTGTGTCTGCTTGGGTATGTACAAGTGAGTACAGGTTCCCTAAAGGCCAGAAGACATGTGCGAGATCCCCTGGAGCAGGAATAATTCCATGGGTAGCTGTGAGCTGCCTAATGAGACCCTAACTCCCTCCCGTGCTTGTGATCACTGAGCCATCTTCCCTACCCATTATTCGCTTTCTTTTTTTTTCAAGACAGGGTTTCTCTGTGTAGCCCTGGCTGTCTCAGAACTCACCAGGCTGGCCTGGAACTCAAGAGACCATCAACCCCTGACTCCGAATTCTGGGATTAAAGGCCTGTGCCACCGTCTCCCTCAAATATGCACCTCTTCAGATTGTATCATTGATGCTCGGAAGCTAGGCTGGTCTTCTCTACACTGTCCCAGTTTTAGCATGTGTTGCTGCTGAAGAGAGCACCTCATTTTTTTAAATCAGGTGGTCTTGAACTCTATATAGATGGACTGAACACTTTATTCTCCCAGCAGTCTCCCAAATGCTGAGATATGCCATCATGCATGGTTCCAAATAAAATAAAATAAAACAAAACCCTGGGTGTGGTGATAACTGCTTTTTTGTTTGTTTGTTTTTCCGAAACAGGGTTTTCCGCTATGTAGCTTTGGAGCCTGTCCTAAAACTTGCTCTGTAGACCAGGCTGGCCTCGAACTCACAGGGATTCACCTGCCTCTGCCTCCCGAGTGCTGGGATTAAAGGCGTGCGCCACCACCGCCCTGAAGGTGAGAAAAGCTTTAATCTGAACACCAGGAAGGCAGAGGCAGATCTGACAGTATGGAACCAAACTGGTCTACATACTGTGTTCCAGACCAGTCAGGGCCACATAGTGAGACCCTGCCTTGGGGGTGGGTGGTGGGCAGAGGGGGCATGAAGTAAAGATGAAGTAATTGACAGAATAGAGTGGACAACATATGAATCACACGAGCTACACATAACTGTATGATTTTTAACATGAGAAAGGATAGGCCTCAGTTAGAGAGGCATCCAGATGTTAACTCCATTCCTCGGCAAATCAGCCAATTCTGTTATATTACGGCGGCAAAGAAACAACCGTACCTGCTTATAGCTAAGGTTGAGAATGGCAGAGAGTTCTTGCATCTGCTGGAGGCTGAGGTACCTTTGCCTCTGAAACCTGTCCCTGAGCGCACACAGCTGTGCCTGAGAGAACACGGTCCGCATCTTCTGCTTCTTGGTGTGGACCTTGCTGTCCCCCTTCTTGGCGTCCTCTTCAGACTCAGGACCAGTGAGCTTCAGTTTGGGCCTGGTGGAAGAGTCAGGGCTGTCCTGAAGAGGCAGGTCCACAGAGGAAGGGCGAGGAGACGCTGTTAGGAATACACAGATAATTTGTTAATAAAGCATGCTCAGCCGGGCATTGTGGTGCGTACCTTTAATCACAGCACTAGGGAGATAGAGGCCAGCAGACCTCTGAGTTCCAGGACAGACAGGGCTGCACAGAGAAACCTTATCTCAAAAAAAAAAAAAAAAAAAAAAAATTAAATATTAGGTTTAATGTATTTACTTTGAAAGTAGTTATCTTCATAGCCTTAGATCTAAGTAATATGTAAAACCTAATAATTTCATTATAATCATATGCTCTGTCAGAATACTTGGTCACACACACACACACACACACACACACACACACCACATAAGAGTGTGCTATCATTTTACATAGGTGTTTTAACATAACATAGCATAAGTTATGTTATTTATTTAAATCATACAAGTAGACCCTGGAAATCCAAAAACAAAATAAAAAGCAACAACTAACTAACAAATGTTCGGCTCAAAGGCAGGACGGAGAGGAAGTTTGAATTTGTAGTCCTTTGTCCTTCTTTCAACCCCTGCTGCCTCTAGATGAGGACTGTGACCTCATGTAGAGTGTGAGGAGGCAGCATGTACTTGAAGTCTGCTTGCTCCAGAAGCTGAGATGAGAGAGAGTTTGAGACCAGCCCCAGCTCAGAAAAGTAAATAAATGGCCTGGAGAGATGGCTCAGCAGTTAAGAGCACTGGCTGCTCTTCCAGGGAACGGGGTTCAATTCCCAGCAGCCACATGGCAGCTCACAATGTCTGTAACCCCAGTTCCGAGGACCTGACACCCTCATGCAGACGATACACCCAGGCAGAACACCGATGCACATAAAATAAATAAAGGTTTATAATCCCAGGCATCAGATTTGGGGAATTTTTATCTTCCCTAGTTTTTTGCATGTTCCTGGGGATCCAACCCTGTTGGGACCTTTCATGCTCTACCACTGAGTCAGCCCTAGCCCAGTCATACAACGACAAATGTGTATGAACTAACATATGTGAATGAACTAACAAGTCTGAATGAAAATGTCATAATGAAATCCATTGTACTGAATGTCATCTAAGGAAATTTCCAGGGTGAAATAAATCACTTGCCATTAGCAATGCACAGCCCTGGGTTTAGTCCCTAACACAAGAAGAGGAGGACGAGGAGGGCCTTCCTCGCCCCTTCTTCCCCTTCCCCTTCCGCCTAGAAGGCGAGGGGGGGGGGCTTCCTCACCTTCACCTAGAAAGGGAGGGGGGCCGTCTTCCTCTTCCTCTAGAAGGGGAAGGATGGGGAAGAAGAGGAGAAGGAGAAGCAGCGGCCTATTTCCACATGGTACTGCAGTCCTTTCTGTTGGTACAAAAGCAGTCAGTCTTGAGTTATCAGTACTAGGGCAAAATCCCAATTAACCAATTTTGTTTCTCTCATCCATGACCCTCTAGCTCTTCCACTGGGTTGTTTTTGTTTGTTTGTTTTTTAAGACAAAGTCCCCAATCCACCTGCCTCAGGGCTAGATTTTTAGCTGTGTGCCACCAAGGCCAGGCATTTTGCTGTTCTTCTGAGATTAGAAGGGTTGAACTCAGAACCACTACCCAGCTTCGCCTGGCTTTCTCTAGCGACGGCACCACTGCAAGATGCGATGCTCAGCACCAACGCTGCCGTCTAGAAGTAAGGAGACCGGCCTTAAAGCAGCTTCGAAAAGGACACATATGTCCTCTGCCGGCACTAGGGGCAGCCACAAACACAGCCATCCTCACTTTACTTGCCACGGACAACCTACCCACTCATTCCCAACTCCGCACTCTTCCACCTCAAAGTCACAAAATCAAAATTCACAATGACAGACATTAAACCAAAGCTCAGAGAAGAGGTGACACTTCTGTGTACTGAAATACACAGCCAACGGAGTGGTCATCGGCCTTGGGGTGTTGCCGTGGTAGAACTTGCACGTACTATACACACACACACACACACACACACACACACACACACACACACACACAGACTTTAGCAATACTTGGCTGAGTCTGTATAGACAAAATGTGTTTCAGACCTGGGTCCCAGCAGCTAGCTATATGGAACTACCTTTACTGTAAGCTAAAAGAACACTTGTTTGGGGTTTAGGATGCGTGCTCACAAGCTGGAGACTAATTACTAAGTGACACCCACATTCTCAAGTGTTGAGAGGAAAGCCATCCATCCGCTTCTTCGGGAGAAAGAAGCCATTTGGATAAACTACAAACGAATTGTACAACCTCACCTAAAATGGGTGCTCCTCATCCTCATCATCACCTAGAGGCCCAACCCTTGTTAAGAAGAAAGCATCAGCCGGGCAGTGGTGGTGTATGTCTGGCAGAGGCAGGTGAATTTTGGTGAGGTCGAGGCCAGCCTGGTCTACAAAGTGAGTTCCAGAACAGGCTCCAAAAAAGCGACACAGAGAAATCCTGTCTCGAAATGCCACCCCCTCCAAAATAGATGAGAGCATCACCTCGCTTAATTACTATAGCACATTTGTTTCCAAAGGGCCTAAAACATTAAAGTTCTCAAATTCACATCACAGCCTCCAATCCAATTGCCCGATTCTATATCCCTGGTCTCTACTACTGCTCGAGACTAGAAGGTGACATTGATGTCACCAGTAAAACCTCAAAGCGGGGTGTCCAGAGGTTGATAATGACACCTGCTTACGGACTATAACTGATAAAAGAGGCGGTGACCCTTCACCCGTTTCTTCCTTCTTTTCTAATTAACTTGGATCTTCGGGGATTGAACTCCTTACCGATCTCTTTTCGGAGCATCTCAGCAGCAGCGTGTGAGCAACAATTTTCCTCAGGACCGGGAACTTCAGGCATTGGTGATGAGTCACCAGAATTTGCTGCTTCGTCGTAATAAGGCAGACTGTGGGAACCCCGGAGATCCACACTCATGTCAGATAGAAGTCAGTCGGAACAACAACAAAATAAATTTTAACGACAAGAACAACAAAAGAGCTAAGACCTTAAAACTCAATGCCTAGGAGGAAGGATCCCAGGAATGACAAATAAATATGTCCAGATGTAAAATTATCAAGAGGCCAGGGGGAAGCGGGCTTCCTCTCAGTCTTCCAGCAACAGAGGGAGAGGCCAGCTCAGCCTAGCTGGAGGCCAACAGCTTAAGGCGCTAGATTTTAAAGGTAGATTCCAGTGTCCTGGATCACTCCTCCCCCTCAACCCCCTACTCCCGCCCACCCCCCACCCCAGCACCCACGCCCCACCATCCCTGTGAATTCACAGCTAATCCCTCCTGCCAGGCCCACCGAGGACATTGTAATGCAAAAGAAGCTGTGGAGTGAGTGACCCAGACTGAGGCGGGAAGGGAAAAGATGGGGCCACCTAAATCTAGAGATCAAAAAAAAAAGGTGGCTTCTCACGTGTGGTTTTACCGTGTTTCGCCGTCAAACCATGACTGCACCTCCAGAGCCCGTACTCTCTCCACTGGGGCCATTTCCTCTTCGGTTCCCCCACAGACATAATCAAATAACCAGAGCTTGTTGTCCAAGTCTCTGTTTTTTAAATACGGCGCTCCTGCTGTGGTGAGTTCTTGGAGGAAGTCTTCACTGAGATGGCAGAAAAGTACGGACAGGTTGAAGGGATGAACGTCTGTGACAACCTAGGAGACCCCCTGGTGGGGAACATGTATGTCAGGTTTCGTCATGAGGAGGATGCAGAGAAAGCTGTGATGGGCTTGAATAACCGCTGGCTTAACGGGCAGCCAATCCGTTCAGAGCCGTCCACCGCGCCTGACTTCAGGGGGGCCTGCCAGTATGAGATGGGCGAGTGCGCGAAGATGGGCTTCTGCAACTTCATGCATCTGAGGCCAATCTCAAGAGCGCTCCACAGGAAGCTGTCCGGGCGCCAGTGCAAGAAACAGAGTTCCAGGTCCCGATCCCGGGAAAGGCATTCTCCATCCAGAGACCCTAGGCATGGTGGCAGCAGCGGAGGTGGAGGACGAGAGCATGACAGGAGGCAGTCTAGATACCTCAAGACATACGGGAGATTCGGAGCCCACCTGTTTATACCTTGCGTCTGCTAGACAGTTTTGTAGTTGGTTGACAAGCCAGTTCACATTGGGATTTTTTTTTTTTTAACAACCAAAAAAGATGAGTTTCTGAATAAAATTTGTAGTGATAAAATAAGAAAAAAAATATGGCGCTCCTTTTCAGCTCCCACCTTAGTTCTTTCTTGGTTTCGTTTTGGGAAAGGTAGGCAAGTCTTTCTACCAAAAACGCCGTGTTTTAGTAAAAGGGAGGACCCGTGACCTGCTATGACTCTTGGGCTCCTTCGTAAGTAGGTCTGTATCTTTCACATGTTAAAGTTGGTTTTGAAACAGGGTCTTACTAGCCTTGGGTAACCTGAACTCAATATTTAGACCAGGCTGGCCTCAAACTCATGGAGATCTGCTTTTACCTCTGCCTCCTAACTGCTGGAGGTGGAAGTAGTATGCCAGACACAAGAGTTTGAGGAGTTTTTAAATTAATTGGGGGGGGTTTCTATTTTGTTTTGAGACAAGTTCTCACTATAGCCTATGAGGGCCTCAGACTTACTGCAATCCTCCTGCCTCAGCCTCCTAAGCAACAGAATAAGGCATTTATTTTATTTTTAATTTGGTTTTGGTTGTTTCTTTGAGATAGAGTTTCATGTAGCCTCACACTCACTATATTGCTGATGCTGGCCCTGAACTCCTATTTTTCCTTCTACAAGTTCGAAGCTTGCCCAGCACCCTCATGCTCACAGAGAAGTGCTCTTTACACCGGTGAGTGAGGACAGTTCTAGCCTAGTTAAGTCTGTCTCTGTGTGTGTAAATAGAGAGGGAATTACCTGCTGTGTGTTTTAGGAATTATACAAGAGAAAATGCTGTATTTTCCTAACATCTATCACGTCAAGGCTATTTACCACAGTGGGTATTAGTTGATATTCTATGTGAATTTTGTGTTGCAAAACACTAAATTTGAATGCCTTTTTTTGAGTTTTTTTTTATAACTTTAATCTGGCGAGCAACATGATAAAATTAAAAGCAGCCATTTCTTATTTTGTTTGGACACTACTAGACATGAACTAATGTGGCTGGTGGACTCTGTCCACACCCAACGGGAAGAAGGTGAAGAATGACATTATAACTGTACCCTCTTTCTTTGTGACTTACTGTTTTAACACCACCCTTTTTCCTCCCCCAACTTTTAGGGGTGAGGAAACTTTTAAAAAGAAACAATACTTTTAGAATTGTGTGTGTGTGTGTGTGTGTGTGTGTGTGTGTGTGTATGTATATATATTCTAAAGTGTATACATATGTGTATATATATTCTAAAGTATATATATATTCTAAAAGTGTGTGTGTGTGTGTGTGTGTGTGTGTGTGTGTGTGTGTGTGTGTTTATTTTTTTCTGAGACAGGTTTCTCTGTATAGCCCTGGCTCTCCTGGAACTCGCTCTGTAGACCAGCCAGGCTGGCCTCAAACTCACAGAGATTTGCCTGAGTACTGGGATTAAAGGCATGTGCCACCACCACCTGGTGAGATATTAATATTTTAAACAGTGAACACATAGACTATAAAAAATGGTAGAAATGATAGAACAAAAGAATGATTGTTTTACCTTTCACTGGTTTACTGGGCTAATAAAAAATATGGCTCTGAGCCGGGCTGTGGTGGTGCACGCCTTTAATCCCAGCACTCGGGAGGCAGAGGCAGGCGGATCTCTGTGAGTTCGAGGAAAGACTGGTCTACAAAGTGAGTTCCAGGACAGGCTCCAAAGCTACACAGAGGGACCCTGTCTTGAAAAAACCAAAAATAAATAAATAAATAAATAATAAAATAAAAATAAAAATATGGCTCTGATGTGATTTTTTTCATTAGGCACTAAATGAACAGAATGTTCAGAATATCAACATTTATACCAGAGTTTAGTAAAAGAGAAAAATTCTTCCTACCTCTGAGGTTCAGGCAGGCATTACCAAATCCAATTTAAGACTTCCAACTTTCTTTTTTCTTTTTCTTTTTCTTATTTTGGTTTTTGGAGACAAGAGTTTCTTTGGGTGGCCTTGTCTGTCCTGGAACACAATCTGTAGACCAGGCTGACCTTGAACTCACAGAGATCCTCCTGCCTCTGCTTCTTGAGTGCTGGGATCAAAGGCGTGGCCCGCACCGCCAGGCACAAGATTTCCAGTTCTCAATAAGAAGACTTTTTATTGGGGGTAACTGTAGGGAGCCATTGGGCTGCACAGTAGCTAGAGTCACATCTGTAGACAGTTTTTAATTATTTTGAGCCAGGATCTTACTTTGTAAATCCAGGTTGGCCTGAAACTCACTGTGTAGACCAGGCTGGCTGGTGTGAGTGTTCCTTCCCCTGTCTTTGAGTGCTGGAATATAGGAGTGTCTTCATACGTAAATTGTTTTTTTAAAAAAACTTTTTTAAAGAGAGAGTCTCCTGGGTGGTGGTGGTGGCGGCGGCGGCGGCGGCGGCGGCGGCGGCGGTGGCGGCGGCGCACGCCTTTAATCCCAGCACTTGGGAGGCAGAGGCAGGTGGATCTCTGTGAGTTTGAGGCCAGCCTGGTCTACAGAGCTAGTTCCAGAACAGCCAAGGTTGTTACACAATAAAACCCTGTTTCGAAAAACCACAAAAGCAAAACAAAACAAAATACCCCAAAATGAGAGTCTTGAGGCGTATCCCTGGCTGGCCTGGAACTCACATGGGTTTCTCTACCTCTGTCTGTCTTCCAAGTACTCGGATCAAAGATGTGCACTGTCACCCTGGTTTGGAATTTTTCCCTTCAATTTTATTTGTTATTGTGTGTGTGTGTGTGTGTGTGTGTGTGTGTGTGTGTGTGTGTGTGAGAGAGAGAGAGAGAGAGAGAGAGAGAGAGAGAATATGCAGGTGTGAAGTGCCAGGGTGTGCCAGAGGGAGTCATCAGAGTCCAGCATTTGGAAGTTGGTTCTCTCCTTCCACTGTGGCTTCAAGCCTTGGGCTTACACAGAAAACGCTTTTTCCTGCTGAGAGTTCTGCCCATCACACCTCAGGAGAGGCAGGGGATCTCCATGTAAGTTCAAAGCCAGCTGGGTGGTCTTCATGGTGAGATACTGTCTGGAAAACAGAAATCAGGCTGGGCTGTGGTGGTGCATGCCTTTGATTCCAGCAGAGCCAGCCTGGGCTACAGAGTGAGATCCAGGACAGGCTCCAAAACTACACAGAGAAACCCTGTCTCAAAAAACAAAAACAAAAAACAAAAAAAGCCAGAAATCAAACCAAGCAAACAAACCTGAATACTGGGTTCCATCACTGACATATCTAAGGACAAGAAGACAGTCTGTGTGGTAGTTCTTCTTTCCCTCCCCATTTCTCAACTCAAAATTCACGAGATCTAAGGTTACATCTTCTTTCCTGATTTCACCACGCAATGCAAACTCTTAGCAAATCCCAGTTACATGTTTTGGCAACACTCAATTTTTTAAAATAACCACTATTCTGTTTTTGGGAGGCAGGGGGCTGGCTGTGTAGCCCAGTATCCTCCCATCACTGGGCTGTGGGGTCACTCTGCTCCTACAAAAACCAACTTCTTTATAATACAAACAAACTTTATAATACAAACAAAGATGTCACTAGGTAGGGGTAGGCGTGCCCTGAGGGAGACCTGACTTTGGTAAATAGGTCTTTGTCTTCTCTCACCCCCCCCCCCCCAGGGGAGCTGTCAGAGGGGGCCAGGAGGAGTCAGAGAACTGGATGTTTCACGGTCAAAGCCGGTTCTCACTTCCAATTAGAAACAAAATGTGAGTCCTGTAAAAGGGCTTGAACCCTGCCTCTAGGTTCATGGGGTCAAGGTCATCAAATCCTTGCATTTACCCGAGGCTCTGCAAAAGCTTGGTACAGGAGGCGCAGCTCCTTGCAGAAGGGGTCTTTGTGTCAGGACCTTCGATGAATTACCCCCTAACCCCCATCACTGTCCTGCCGCTTCTGTCTAAGGTGAGAGTCTCTGGAGTGGAAGACCCAGGAGAAAAAGGAGGCTGGCATGGAAAGGCAGGCTGGCTGCATTCCTTCCCCAGGAAAGCATTTGAATAAGGTGGAGACTGTCTTGAAACCTTGACTTGGTTGGGATGGGCTGTGTGGGTGGAGGAGGGGTGCGTTAGGTGAGTCCACAGTGTGTGGTAAAACACAATCAAAACAGAAAGAAGAATGATCGTAATGTTGTTCTGAAAAAGAGTACGGTGTGCTGTGTGTGGGTCCAAGCAGGTGGGACAAAACAAAACCTTGAATCCTCTAGGCGGGAGGGAGATCAGAAGGGAAATACTGGGAGACCCACCTGGGAGGGGAATTCCAGCAAGTTCACCGTTTGAGAGAAAATTACAGATCCCAACACTTCAGTTTTTTTTTTTAATTACACTCAATGATATTCATTAATTACACTCATGATAATATTTATATTTGTGGTATTCATTTATTACATTCAGAGTATTCATTCAATAATTATATTTATGATATTCATTAATTACATTAATTGTTTTGATTTATTACGTTCATGATATTATGTCCTGATACTACTGTCCATTTGTGGGGTTTTTCCATCACAGAAAACAGAGATTCTGTACTTAGTAAATCATTGCTCTATATTCCTTTCCTCTCTATCTTGAGATAACATCTAATCTTTCTGTCTATGAATTTGTATATTCTGTATATTTCTTGTAATACAATTCTATAGTATTTGTCCTTTTTTTTAATGGTGGCGCACACCTTTAATCCCAGCACTCGGGAGGCAGAGCCAGGAGGATCTCTGTGAGTTCGAGGCCAGCCTGGACTACCAAGTGAGTTCCAGGAAAGGCGCAAAGCTACACAGAGAAACCCTGTCTCGAAAAAAAAAGAAATATTTTATGTACAACTGCAGGAGAAATAATACACAGATAGCCTGAACATAAAAACAGATTATAATTTAAAAGTCCAGGGTTATTTTAAATAGTAAAATATTTCTGTTTTTAAAACTTCAGAAAAGCTTATCGTGGACCTGGGGATGTAGTTCAGTTGCTAGCGTACTTCCTTGCACGTATAAGGACCTGGATTCGATCCCTAGCACTGCATAAAACCATAGGACCGCCCGGGCGGTGGTGGCTCACGCCTTTAATCCCAGCACTCGGGAGGCAGAGGCAGGTGGATCTCTGTGAGTCTGAGGCCAGCCTGGTCTACAGAGCGAGATCCAGGAAAGGCGCAAAGCTACACAGAGAAACCCTGTCTCGAAAAAAAAAAAAAAAAAAACAAAAAAACCCGAAAACCACAGGACCAAGCCTGAAATTCCAGTACTCTAGAGACAGGAGGATCAAGTCTCTGCAGACAGCTCTGCAAATAAAGTGCCTTGAGCTTCAGCTCTTCATCAGAGCCAATATCCCTCCCTTTCTCTCACCCCCAACTTTCTCTCACAGTAGAGAAATGTATTCCCACAGGTTGCCCTCTGACTGCACACCCACCCATTGCCACACCACATAAATAAATCAATAGTTTTTTTTTTTTTAATAATAACCATATCTGGATTCCACTGCTTCTTTACATTTTTCCTTCTGAATGTTTCCCCCTTTTTTTCATTGTTGGGTAAAGTTGTTTTCAGTTTTCATTTTTGTTTTTAGGATCTTTCTATGTAGCTCAGGCTAGCCTGGAACTCATGATTCTCCTACATCTTAAATGCTCTACTGTGTCTGTCTTTACTTCTCTTATCTTGCTAATATTGTACCTATTTGTTATCTGCCTGCCTGCCTATCTATCTATCTATCTATCTATCTATCTATCTATCTGTCTGTCTATCTGCCTGTCCATCCATGTATCTGTAGCTCTAGAAGAGACTCTTACACCAGCAGCAGCTTCTGTGTTAGAGAGAGGAGCTCAGCACTTCACACTCAGCTATTATGACTGGTGCTAGGGGCCAGGAATCTGCACTTCAGAGTTTTTCTGGAAGCAGGATGTGGTGCCTCAGATCTGCAACCTCAGCCCCTGAGGGAGAATCAGAGCCAGGGTATTTACGGACAGGTGCTGTCTCAACAAAGCAAGTTGCCCTTTGTAGACTCCCGGATAGCATGAGGAGACCCTGAGTTCAGTCCTCATGCTAAACACACACACACACACACACTCAGATACAGACACACACACCACAGGCTATACAGGCTATCTTTACACCTTTACTTGCTGTTGCTTGAGAACTTATTCTAGAACAACAACAACAAAAAAAACAGGCATAAAAGTTGAAATTTATCAGCACAGTGTGGTGGCGCACGCCTTTAATCCCAGCACTCGGGAGGCAGAGGCAGGTGGATCTCTGTGAGTTCGAGGCCAGCCTGGGCTACACAGCAAGTTCCAGGACAGGTTCCAAAGCAACACAGAGAAACTCTGGGGTGGGTGGTGGGTTGGTAGAAAACCAAAACAGATGATAAGTATCATGTTGCTAACAGAGAAGAAAGAACCAAGGCTTTGTGTGGAAATGGAAGGTGGAACCACTTGTTCACACTTAAGAGACTTTTGTTTTAAACCTGGAAGGCCATTTTCCTAGGTTTGAAAGAGAAAAACAACAGAGCCAGCAAGCTGTAAATCTTCTCTGCTGGGAGGAGAGAGGTGGTGTGGGGGGGGGGGGATGACAAAATCAGGGGGTTCTGGGGAATCTTTGGATAAAGAAGAAAAGGAAAACAGGCTTTTTGAATTAGAAAATCAGTCAGGGTTAGTTGTGAAGATCTGCAATGGAAACTACTGTGCAGACCAAGGGGGCCTTGAACTCACAGAGATCTATGTATCTGCTTCTGCCTCCTGAGTGCTAGGATGCTGGGATGAAGTGCATATGCCATCATGCTCCACCAACTTAAATAAAAAATTTTTTTCTTTTTATTATTTCTATTATTTTTGCATGCATGCATTCGTGTGTGTGTGTGTGTGTGTGTGTGTGTGTGTGTGTGTGTGTGTGTGTGCTTGAGCTCACAAGGACAGGGATATTTGATCCCTGATTCTGAAGTTACAGTTGTTTGTAACTGCCCTTTATGGTCCTGGGAACTCCACTCCTCTGTAAGAACAATGCTTGCTCTTAACCCATAAGCCCTCTTTTCTGTTCTCATATATATATACATATATATATATACATATATATATATGTATGTATACACACACACACACACACACACACACACACACATTGGTGTTTTGCCTTCAAGTGTCTCTGGATATGGGAATCAGATCCCCTGAAACAGGAGTTACAGCTGTCAGCTGTCATGTGGATGCTGGGAATTGAACCTGGGTCCTCTGGAAGAACAGCCACTGCTCTTAACCACTGAGCCATCCTTCTAGCCCCTTAAATATTCTTTAATTGACATATAATTTTTTTTCTTCTTTGAGTTAGATCTCCTGTCTCAAAGAACTGGTTATGAAGCCAAAGGTGGCCTTGAATTTATAATCTTTCTCCATCTCTTAAGTGCTAAAATTACAGGTTTGCATCACTACCATCAGCTTTACTTATCTGTTTGGGT